TTAAAAATTTCCTTTAATTTTTCTTATAGAACAGTCCAAATCATTTCAATGACACATGAAAAAAACTGGTCATTGTAACTTTACGTAGTATATGCCCCCCCACCATCTTCAAAATACATTATACAAATACATGCTCTGCTAGGTACAAAGACATATACTTTCAATTTAGAAATATGTCCCTAACCTCAGCCACCACGTCCTTTATAGTCATGAACCAATTGTTGTGGTAAGCAGACTTGTTGCACCCATTTCCCAAACTAATTGGAATTGGATATGTGAAACTGATTTACCAGTTTCTGATTGATACTGCATTTGCTAACAGAGCACACACTGACCAATGTAGAAACTCTATGCAAGAACAAGGCAGAAATTTCCAAAGAAAAGTTGCAATTTGAAAAAGGGAAATTATATAGTACAATCTTTGGATCTCAGAAAGCTATAACACTGGTCTCATATGTGGTGAAGAAAAGCAATCTACTGTAACTCATGTCAACATTGCACCACGATGGAAACATTGACAAACATCAACAAAGCTGAAGCCTGAGATGGAAACTTTTTCACAACAAAATAAAAAGTGGAGTAGGTGTTGACAAGTTATGTGGTACCTATGATGTCACTCAAAACACAATGTGTTGGCCAATGGTTGTGCTTCAATGGTCTTAACCAAGTATAGCATGAACAGCTTGATATTTTACAAAGAAATTAACAAGTGCAAAATACCATGGAGAAATTTTCTTGGAGGATTGGGACTGGAGCTCAAAACACATCTTTTACAACACAAGAAAAGCCTAGTGTTTCTTCCCAGCAAACTACACAAAGATTTATGGAGCATACTGGTGAGCTCACAGATGCACAAAGGCATACTACAACAGCAGGAATGCCAAGACTGTCAGCTACACCCTAAAAACAGGACAGGAAAGCAAAGCAGAAGTGCTAACAGCATAAGTGATACTTGTGCATGGAACATCAGATTGTGATGGGTGAAGACTGCCCTGGGAGTGACAAGTGAAGCAAAGATCGTTTCTACCATAGACTTTTCTTTGAGTTCATACTGTAGCTCACATAGCTTTTACTTCCGGTGTGATCTTTTAGGTTTTGTAAGCAAGTACATAGCTGCTGTGAAATGTTGATAACTTTTGTCATTAGATATGGGATATTTAATTTTATTGATGTTTTATTTTCTGCTAAGTGCTTGTGATATAGTATAGTAAGGAATTCCTGACATAACAGCAAGACCAGCAAGATATCAAGTATGTACTACAAGAAGGACAGGATGGCTAAACACATGTGCTTGTCAGTGTAGGTGACAGACTTGTACGAAATGTGCTATTGTTATTGTCAAGACTGCCTTGGGTGGGACATCTGCAGTGAAGATTACTTTTGTGGGGCCAAAGAGATAGCTCATAGAATCAGTGCTTGCCTGACAAGTACAAGGTTCTGAGTTCAATCCCCAGCACCACCAAAATAATAATAAAAAAATGCTACAGAGTTCTATTTATATTTTTGTTCTAGTTCATGTAGTAATTTATATCCATTGTTACTTTTTATTCTTTGTAAACCAAAAAGAAGTAACTGTGATTATCTGATGGGATAATCCTGACCTGTTCTTTGTTTTGGAAGGCAAGTAGAATATGGTGATTGGTGTATCACATGGCATTGATTATTGTGCTGCATAATCAGGACTTGCCACACCCTGATTACTACTATCTGACTCTTAGAAGTGGATGCTGAAAACTTTGATGCTTTTTAATAAACATTCAATAAATATTAAATATTCTATACTTTATGTTTTGATTTTTCCTGTTAAGTACTCACTGATGTAACAAAACTCTTAAAATTATAATTAATATTTCATTAATAAAAATGATTCTAAAGAATTGATGTGGGTTAGGTACCCCCTTCTGTATGTTCCTTTAATACAAAATGGTTATGATTAGGGAGTAGGGAAAACTGAACAAGGAGGAGGAAGAAATCAGACGAGAGTGTAAATTCAGACAAAGCCACAGCCTCCACTTATCCCCCACCTGAACCTGCTGAACTCTGCCATCTGCCTCCCACCTCAAAGTCCCCTAATTTGAGAAGACCTTGAAGCTGTCACACTCCTGCAGCAACCTCGTGGGGTGAAGTCTCCCCTGTAGGGCACCCTCTTCCTGGCTCTTCAGATCTTTGGGCCAAGTAGAAAAGAGACAACAATGTCCTGGGGCAGCCCTCTAAGGAAGCGGTGGTAAGGACCAAAGTGGGGCATCAGATGTCTGCTGGAGTGGCCATGCTACTTTGCAGGGCTGATTTTCTGTCCCAGCTGTCCCCAGATGACTAGGGACCTGCCTTCTCTGAGCACAGATACCTCTTTTGTGTTCTCATTTTCAAATAAAACCAGCATATCCATTGTTAAATTGACCTCCAAGATGAGAGCATTTTACTGTTTTTAAAAGCTTAGTGTCTCCAGGTAACAGCCTGAAAAGGAAAGGTAGGATCATGGGGAGGAGAACAGTAGCGGTAGAGACTGTAAGCACCAATAAAAATAATAACAGTACTCAGACGTGATGACATACACCTATAATCCCAGCACACAGGAGGCTGAGGCGGGAGGACCCTTGCGAGTTCAAAACCAGCCTGGGCTAGAAAGTGAGCTCAAGGCCAGCCTGAAATGCCTAGTGAGACCCCTCTCAAAAAGACATAAATAAATAAATAAATAAATAAATAAACAAACAAACAGTAGCTAATACTTATGATGAACTTTCTATGTGCCAGGTATTGTATCAAAGTTTATTTATTTATGATACAGGGTCTCGCTACACAGTTTAGACTCATAGTGATCCTCCTGTTTCAGCTTCCCTTGTGCTGGGATTGCAGGAGCACACCATCACACTTGGGGTTCTGGGGCCAGCACGTCATGTGATATCCAGGATTGAACTCAGCACATTGCACTTGCCAGGCAAGCTATATTATCAACCCTAAAGTCATTTTTTCTGTAAAAAAAAAAAAAAATTTAAAAAATATATATATATAATAGAATTGAAATTTGATACTACTCTAAAAGAAAACAACAAATGCAGTGAATTTTTATTTTTTCTTTGCTTTAAGACCTAGATGAGGAGAAATATAATATTTCACACACAAAAAAAAAACTTAGTATCTTATAGGATAACCTGGAAGAATCTTAAAAGGTATACTTTATTATCCTTATTTGAAAGCTGCAGGAAACTAAACCTCATTCAGTTCTTCAAAGTCCAGCCTTTTCCTTAGCTGCACTCCCAGTCAGTATTGAAGTGCATGATTTAAAACGCCTGGGAAGGCCTGATAGCTCAGCTCATTAAAGTGCCTGAAAGCACTGCAGGGGCCAGGGGTTTGATCCCTAGGCCTGCCATGCCCCATCCCTGGGGCATGCTGAGATGGCCATTGAGACTGGGCGTGGTAGTGCACGCCTGTAATCTCAGCTCTTGGGAGGCTGTAAGCAGGTGGTGCACTATGAGTTCAATCTAGCAGTGAGACCCTGAACACCCTGTAGAACCTTTCCTAAAATATAAATAAATAAATAAATAAATACCTGGGCTTACACTGACATGGCTGACAGTGCACGATACCCTCCAGGAAGGAAGCACAGTGATGTGCCTGGTGCGCCTGCAGGTGTGCGGCTGTATTCCAAATCAGAGCAAAAGCATGGATTTTCCTTGGAGAGAAGAAGAAAGCCTTGCTCTTGAAGTTTTATTTTTCTCATGTTGAAGCTACAAAGAAATCATGATCAGTAGTTTTAGTTAACTTAATTTTCCAATAAAAAAAGAAAACCCACCTCAGGTCTCTCCCCCAAGGCCACGTATTGTGGCGTGGTCCCCCAGAAGAACTACCGACTGGTTTCGTGAGCGTAGTATCATAGCTGGTGCTCCACAAAGAAGAAAGCTGCATTTTGCATTGCTTCTATTGTACCTTGTATTTAATATCATGAAATCATTTTCTGGTCATTGCTCATTGGTTTTCATAAACCTAAAAATGTGTTCAGAGTATTTTCCCTCTCATCACGTGCTTCTTCCCTTATTTCAAAGAATTTGCTGGACAGACGGATACTGTTTTCTCTGTCTACACCGAGGCACACATCAAAAGGCCCCTTTAGGACCTGCCTTACCCTAACGGTGGTAGAGTAAGGCTGTGTCATGGTGCATCTCACCTCAATTTGAGAATTTTTGTGGGCTTTTTGTGAGGATTGTGGAGCTATTCTCAGAGGCATGCTTATATCCAATGAGGGCTTTGCAGTTCCATTCCTTTAGCACACAAAAGGCACCTTTTAAGTCTCAACTGTAGTGTGAGACAACCTTAATTAAGTTCCTATATCTCAATATTTTTATTTGACTAATGGGGAAAGAATGTCTACTTCCCAGGGTTTTTGACAGAGTCAAATGTGAACATGTTTGTGAATGCACTTTTTTAAAAAGGGACTCACTTGCCACAGCCAGAAAAACCATAATCATCATGTGCGTGGAGGTCTATAGGGATTCTACTCCTAAGTGGGGAAGCTGGCCTCTGCTACTGGCTGCACTGCACATAGGCATCTGGCCATGCACATTGATGGGGTCCTTTCCATCTGTGGTTCTCAGGCACCTCATCTGTAAAATAGGATGAGTAATTTGGTTTCAAATTTGACTGGGGAGATAGCTTGGCAGCCTAAGTACCTGCCTGACAAGCACAAGGATCCAGGTTCAAACCCCAGTACACCACATGCCATGCAGGCCCTGCAACAGGGCATGGTGGCACATGCTTATAATCCCAGACCTGGAGAAGCTGAGACAAGAGGGTTACTATGAATCTGAACTGCAGAGTGAGACCCTGTATCCAATAAATAAATAAATAAATAAATAAATAAAGTTCCCTTAGGTCTTAAAGACGTCTAATAATGAAGTCAGGTGTAGTGGAGCATGCCCACTGATAGCCTGCTCATCTGATTGAGGTGAAGGGGATAATTCAGTAGGACTGCAGGAGGGCCTGTCTGAAAGGCTGAACTGCTAACTGGATTTCCAGGGTTACCTGAACTGTGGGTCCGTGGAGCAGTGTGATAGCCCCCAATATTCATGGCTAATCAAGCACTTGAAATGTGGCTCATCTGGTCTGATACAGGCTGTACTGTAGTTCAAAAATGTATGATGTATTTAAAGATTTAGTATAAATTTATACATTTAATTTAATGTTGTTATATTTTTGTTACCTTGAAATAAATTAGACGAGGTCAACTTATTTCACTGTCTTTTCACCTTTTAATTATGGCAACTAGAAAATGTAAATTTACATATGTGGCTCGTATTATAATTCTATTGGTCAGGACTTGTCTGGGGCCAAGGAGTTGGCCCAGTGGTCTAAGTGCCTGCCTGGCATGGGCAAGGACCAGCGTTTGTTCCCCAGTACCACATGCTGTGCAGACCCTGTGCCAAGCTGGCTACCAAAGCTGGGCATGGTCACACGGCCTGTAATCCCAGCAATGGGGAGGCTGATACAGGAGAATCACTAGGAGTCTGCACTGCATAGGGAGACCCTTCACCAAGTAAATCAATAAAAGATTTTTTAAAAAAAGACTAGTCTGTATCGATACTAGTTGATTCAAGTATTGAACCCTAAAGTACTGGCTGAGAAATTATAAGCAAGTTACTTAACTTTGCTAAATTCAGCTTTCCCTTGTAAACCAGTGTGATGATAGTTTTTGCCTCCTGGAGTGGCTGTAATGATTAAACAAGAGAAGCAAACAAAGCATTTAAAACATAGCAACTCTGAATCTTAACTGTGGCATTAAGCTTCCAATGAGGACCACTAAACAGAGCTCATTTGATGCTTCGTGTTTTTAGAATATGTGAAGTATAGAGATAAGGCAATTTAACAATCTCTGTTGCCAACTCTTTTAACATTTATTTTGGTCAGACATATCACATAACCTTTTGTAGGATCCTTCTCCTAATTTTCTAAGTTTCATAAAAGTAGTGAGGTTCTCAGTGAATGAACATAACAATATTAGGTTGTATTACGTTATCTGTGCTGGGCACAGGCACAGAACCACAGGTCTAGGCTAAGGATCCATTCAGTTGGGTCACTTTTGCTTGTGTGGAACATTTTACCTCAGATCGCCAATGCCGTCTCAAACTGAATCCCTTCAACCTCCGTGTTTTCACCACTCGGCCTGAGAACACACAAGCTCTGGGTGGGCCTCACAGGTATCAGCCTGCCCATTGACAATATGCCTGTAGCCAATTAATTAGTTGAAAGTCCAATTCATGAAATGATTGATTCATCAAATTTACTTCAACTTTTCAATTATGTAGTCATAGTCCATGGGCTTTCATCTTGTCCTTAATAAAGGATTTTAAGGACTGTTTCATTTCTTTCTGTCCCAGGCCCTCTGTTCCAGCTGGAGCTGCAGGGTCAAGAGAGGGAGAGGTGAAGTAAATGGAGACTAGCAAAATAAGAACTTAAAAGGGAACCAAAGGGTGGAAGACAGAGGCACTGTGGAAGAGTAGGGCATGTCTAAGATACTGTAGTACTAAGTATGGAGCATTTCTAAGTCTATTTTTCAAGAATAACTTATTAGTCTTGTAAGTGGATAATTGATACAGTTCTTGATAGTCAAGAAAATGTTGCAGGATGTATCACACACACGTGAGCAATGTGCATCTGGTGTTCTCATGCAAAACAGTATACTCCTGGGCAGTGTCATAGGCATAGCTCTCCTGGGAAATGT